ATGCAACTGATTTCTGAATATTGATTTTGTATCCTGCTACCTTACTGAATTCATCTATCAGTTCCAATAGTTGTTTGATGAAGTCTCTGAGGTTCTCTCTATATAGTGTCATGTCATCTTTATATAATGACAATTTTACTTCCTTCTTACTGATTTGTATGCCTTTTATTTCTTTTTCTTGTCTGATTGCTGTGGCTAGAACTTCCAGAACTATGTTGAATAAAAGTGGAGAAAGTGGAGAGCCTTGTCTTGTTCCTGATCTTAAAGGAACGGTTTTAGCTTTTCCCCATTGAGTATGATGTTAGCTGTGGGTTTATCATATATGGCCTTTATTATGTTGAGATATGATCCCTCTATTCCCACTTTGCTAAGAGTTTTTATCATAAATGGCTGTTGTATTTTGTCAAATGCTTTTTCTGCATCTATTGATATGACCATATGATTTTTTTCTTTTTGTTGATGTGGTGTATCACATTAATTGATTTGCAGATGTTGAACCAACCTTGCGTACTAGGGATGAAACCCACTTGGTCATGATGTATGATCTTCTTAATATATTGCTGAATTCTGTTTGCCTAGATTTTGTTGAGGATTTTTGCATCTATATTCATCAGAAATATCTGCCTATGGTGTTCCTTTTTTGTACTGTCTTTGTCTGGTTTTGGAATCAGGGTGATCGTCGTGGCTTCATAGATAGAGTTTGGGAGCCTTCCCTCCTTCTGGATTTTTTGGATTAGTTTGAGAAGAATAGGTAATAATTCTTTTTTGAATGATTGGTAAAATTCACTTGTGAAGCCATCTGGGCAGGGGTTTTGTTTGTTGGGAGCTTGTTGATTACTGATTCAATTTTCTTGATGGTAATTAATTTATCCATATTTTCTGTTTCTTCTTGAGTTAGCTTTGGAAGGTTGTATGCTTCTAGGAAATTATCCATTTCTTCCAGATTGTCAAATTTGTTGGCATATAATTGCTCATAGTTATTTCTTAAGATTTTTAGTATTTCTGTGGAGTCTGTTGTCACTTTGCCTCTTTCTTTCCTGATTTTACTAATTGGAGTCTTTCCTTTTTTTTTTTGATGAGTCTGGCTAGAGGTTTGTCAATTTTGTTTATCTTCTCAAAATACTAGCTCTTGGTTTCGTTGATCTTTTGTATTGTTTTTCTGGTCTCTATTTTGTTTATTTCTGCTCTGGTCTTTATTATCTCCTTCCTCGTACTCCCTTTGGGCTTATTTTGCTGTTGTTTTTCCAGTTCCCTGAGGTGTAAGGATAACCTGTTGATTTGAAATTTTTCTTGCTTGTTTAGGTAGACCTGAACTGCTATGAACTTCCCTCTTAGGACTGCTTTCGCTGCATCCCAGAGATTTTGGGTAGTGGTGTTTTCATTTTCGTTTGTCTCTTGATCAAGGTATCTTGATTTCCTCCTTGATCTCATTTTGGACCCACTTGCTATTTAGTAACATGTTATTCAGCCTCCATGTATTTGTGTGCTTTCTGGATTTTTTCATATAATTGATTTCTAGTTTCATAGCATTGTGGTCAGAGAAGATGCTTGTTAGGATTTCAGTCTTCTTACATTTATTGAGACTTGTTTTGTGGCCTAACATGTGGTCCATCTTGGAAAATGTTCCACTTTGGACTTTGTTGTTCTTTTTCTAGTTTCTTTAGGTATAAGGTTAGATTGTTTATTTGAAAAAAATTTTTTTCAGAGGTAGGCCTGTATTGCTGTTTCCCTCTCAGGACTGCTTTCACTGTGTCCCATAGATTTTAGGTCATTGAGTTTTTATTTTCTTTTATCTCAAGGTATCTTTTCATTTCTTCCTTGATCTCACTGTTGATTCATTCATTATGTAGTAGCATGTTATTTAGTCTGTATGTGTTTGTGTATTTTTCAATTTTTTTCTTGCAATCATTATAATTTCTTGTTTTATACCATTGTGGTCAGAGAAGATGCCTGAAATGATTTTGATTCTCTTAAATTTATTGAGACTTGTTTTGTGGCCTAATATCTTGGAAAATGTTTCATGTGTACTTGAAAAGAATGTATATTCTGGTGCTTTGTGGTGAAATGCTCTAAAAATATCAATTAACTCCATCTGGTTTAATGTGTCATTTAAAGCCACCGTTTTCTTGTTGATTGATTTTCTCTCTGGAAGATCTGTTCATTAGTGTCAATGGAGTGTTAAAGTTTCCTACCAAGAGTGTATTACTATTACTCTCTCCATTTTATCATTCAATATTTGCTTTTAATATTTAGGTGCTCCTATGTTGGGTACATAAATGTTTACAAGGGTTGTATACTCTGGTTGGGTCCCTTTATCATTATGTAATGTCCCTCTTTGTCTCTTATTATAGCCTTTGTTTTAAAGTCTTATTTTGCCTGGTATAAGTATTTCTATCCCAGTTTTTGTTTGTTTGTTTCCATTCTCATGAAATATCTTTTTCCATCCATTTGATATCAGCCTGTGTGTATCTTTCAGTCTGCAGTGGGTCTCTTGTAGACAGCATATGTATGGGTCTTGTTTTCTTATTCATTCAGCTACCCTATGTCTTTTGATTGGGACGTTTAATCCATTGACATTTGAAGTGATTGATAGATACATAGTTATTGCCATTTTATTATTCATTTTTATGCTCATCTCCCCCCCTCCCACCTTCTTCTTGTACTTAAAGAAGTCCCTTTAACATTTCTTGTAATACTGGTTTGGTGGTGATGAACTCCTTTAGCTTTTTCTTGTCTGGGAAGCTTTTTATTTCTCCTTCAATTTTTCTTTTCTTTTTTTTTTTTTTTTTTAGCTGAGCCATCCTGCCACCTGTTGGCAGCTCAGCGGCTGCTCAGCTCAGGCCGGCAATCGAACCACTGTTATTCAGAGATCAAACTCTTGAGCGAGCTCTTCACCAACTGAACAACTCAGTCGGCCTCCTTCAATTTTAAATGATACTTTTGCTAGGTAGAGTGGTCTTGGCTGTAGGCCCTTGCTTTTCATCAGTTTGAATATTTCATGCCAATCCCTTCTCGTGTGCAAAGTTTCTGTTTATAAATCTGTTACAGTGTCATGGGAGCACCCTTATAAGTAACTAGTTGCCTTTCTCTTGCTGTTTTTAGGATTCCCTCTTTGTCTTTAACCTTTTCCATTTTAATTATAATGTGTCTTGGTCTGGGCGTCTTTGGGTTCATCTTGTTTGGTACTCTTGGCACTTCTGGATTTGTATATTTCCTTCACCAAGTTAGGGAAGTTTTCAGTCATTATTTCTTCAAATAGGTTCTCAAGTCTTTGCTTCTTCTCTTCTCTTTCTGATACCCCTATGTTGCAAATGTTGTTACATTTGATGCTGTCCCAGAGGTCTCTAATTTTTCTTTCTTTCTTTTTTTTTTTTTTGTTGTTCTGATTGTTTTATGATATCTTGTCTTCCAAATCGCTAATTTAATCCTCTGCTTCATCTAGTATGCTGGTGATTTCTTCTAGTACATTCTTCATTTCAGTTATATATTCTTCATTTCTGATTGTTCTTTTTTATAGTTTCTACATCCTTTTTTTATGCTTACTGGTTTTTTTTGTCGAACTTCTCACTTAGTTCATCTATTCTTCCCCTAAGTTCATCAAGAATCCTTATAATCATTGTTTGAACTCTGTATCCGGTAGGATGCTTGCCTCTATTTTATTTAGAGTTTGGAGAACCTGTGTTTTAATGTACACAGTCATTTTTGCATGTTCTATAAATATCAGTGAGTACAGCATAGGGAATAGAGTCAATGGAATTGTAACAGCTATATACGATGTCAGACGGGTAATAGATTGGGGGAGGGGGTTATCACTTTGTGAGGAGTGTAAATGTCTAACTATTACATTGTTTTGTACACCTGAAACTAGTAAAAAAATATTTAAAAATCAGTGATAATATTATTTTGTTTGTTTTTTCAATTAAATAAATCTAATTCTGCCTTTAAATTGTATATATAAAGAACCTTTCTTGATTGACAGGATCGTGTTGGTATCCAATTACACACAAACCTTGAATATTTTACAAGAAGTATGCAAGCGGCATGGATATGCTTATGCAAGACTTGATGGACAAACACCAATCTCTCAAAGGCAGCAAATTGTTGATTGCTTCAATAGTAAATACTCTTCTGATTTTATTTTTTTGTTAAGTTCAAAAGCTGGTGGTGTGGGACTTAACCTTATTGGAGGATCTCACATAATTCTCTATGACATCGATTGGAATCCAGCCACTGATATTCAGGTAGGACTGTTATGCATTAAATAAACATTATAGAGTGCCTACTGGGGATATAAAGATGATGATGATGTATGATAACTGCTGCATATTAAGCCCTTATTTTGCCTTAGGCACTTTGCTAAGTGCTTTCCATCTATTTAGTCTTTACAATAATCCTACAAGTGTGGATATGATTCCATTTTGCAGATGAAGATGTGAATGTTTGTTCTAGGTCACATTGCTTATAAGAGGTAGAGCCAGGATTGAAACCCAAGCCTGTATTTCTGTCGGCTGTAATTCATTACACAGTTTGGCCTTCATGATGCTTATGACCATCAGGGGAAGGCAATAAAATATTATTGATGCTATGATCAATGTTTGTGCAGGGTACAGTAAAGATATAAAATCAGCTTATTTAGGAAAATATTTCAGAAGAAGCCTTTGATTTTATTCAGATACCCTCCATCTTGATGTATTTTGAGATTGCTTTGTATAGGTTTGTATCTGTCTTGGTATCTGTGTTAGGGAACCCCAAGACAACCCTCAGGTTCAATGATTCACTAGAAAGACTCACAGAACCTAGGAAAACAGCTATACTAACACTTATGGTTTATTACAGTGAAAAGATATAGATGCAACTCAGTAAAGGTAAAAGACACTTAGGGCAGAGTACAGAAGAGACCAGGCATAGGCTTTCATTTGTTCACTCTTACTGGGGTTGTATGGACAACACTTAATTCTCCCACTATCAATGAATGACAACACATATGGAGTAATGTCAACCAGAGAAGTTCAATTGCATCTTGGTGTCCAGAGTTTTTGTTGGAGTTCGGTCATGTAGGCATCGAGTACCCAAGTTCCTGACCTTCATTTCTCAGTCTCTAGCCCCACCAGAGGTCAAACTGATACTACAGCTTCAAGGCACCAACCTAAATCACATTGTTAGCATAAACTATCTAGTGTAGTCCAAGGCCCCAGGTAAACAAAGATGTTCTTATCAAATAGGATATTCCAAGGACTTAGAGGTTATCTCCCAGGAGGTGTTTGGAAGGCCAGACTTTTCTTTGTAATGTGCAGGGTTTGAACATCAACTTTTT